CTAATTGGGCAGCAAGCCTGAGGCCAGTGCCCGCGCCGCCGCTCTGGTCGGGAACTTGCGCACCTCTGCTGGATGGCGTGCGTTCCAGGTCTCCTCGACCGAAGGCGCCCTGGTCGCCATGTGCGTCTCGACCGACAAGAGCCCCAATATGGTTCGCGTTGAGGTGCAATCCAAGCGGATGTCGAAGCTGCTGGAGGAGAAGTACCCTGCACTCACGTGGCGGTGTCGGCGCGCCCAGTATCAGGTGCTGGTCAACAGCGCGCCGTGCTGCCAGCTCGAGCCTCAAGGGCAGGACGAGCCGACCCGCATCAGGTGGAACAACCATGCGACAGCGCAGTTCAACGTCGACACTGCGACGACCGAGGAGGCCTTCAACGTTGCCTCCTCGGCTTCCGAGGTTCAATGGTCTGGGTAACATGGGCTGGGCCCTGCGGGGGCCATTTCGCCGTGACGCTGAACACGGCCTACGCATGATCTGCTGGAATGCGCGGAGCCTTCTGTGTCTCGACCCAAAGAAGCGCGACGCCAAGCTGCGCATCTTGACTGAGTATATGCGGCAGCGCTTCCTCATTGTCTTTCAGGAGGTCCGAGGAGATCTAGGCAGATTGCAACGGCTCGTAGACGACGCGTCCTTCATCTATGAGTGCTTCATGTCCGCAGCTGGTGTTTCTGCTGGTGGCTTGGCGTTCCTTGTCCCGCGTCATCGGGCTCAGCAGCCGGTTCCTGATCATCTGAAGCCGGCATGCGTTTTACACTCGATCGTTCCTGGCCGTGCTGCTGCCTTGCATGTCTCGTCCCCTGCGCGCGAGCATTCCATGTGTATTTCGAATGTGCACAATCATCATCTTTTGCTCTCGACGTGCATGAAATCGAACGTTTCTGGTCTCAGCAAGTCGCGTTTGCAGCAGTGCATGAGCGCACCTTTAAGTTCGTTGCTCTCGGTGGCCTCAACATCCCTGAGTCTCCTCCCCGCTCCTTTCCTTCTCCGCTGGCCCCACGCTTGGCTCCTGCTCCGGTTCTTCCTGTTATCGATAACCGTGGCCTGCACGTGAAAGCTCGGTGGCGTCGCATGTTTGCCTCAGTCACAGAGATCACCAATGATTTGCCCACTCGGTGCGATTCTCATCGGTTGCAAGTGATTTGCGCCGATAGGGTCTTTATTTCTGGGTGCCCGTCTCAGCTGGTGCTGGTCGATGCCGCGTTGCAGGTTGTGCCCGAATGTACATGTATGTCCGACGGGGGTCTTTCTGATCATGCTGTGCTCATGCTTGAGCTCTCTCAGTCCACCGCTCGATCCCCGCAAGAGCATGCCATCCCTCCTTATCTTTTCTCGCACTGCGGCGTTTCAGCATATTTTTGCCAGCGTGCTCTCGCGCGCGGATTTTGAGCAACTCGATGCCATCGCAGCGTGGCAGGGAATGAAGGAGGTCATGTATGAAGCTGCTGCGGTCACTCGTGACAAGCTTCAGGCCCCGAGTATCTGCGCGCTGCGCATCCTGAAGCGCCGATCACACGCATGTATCTGTGGCGCTCCATGGCTCGAGCTCTCTGGGGGAACGATGTGCGCACGGCATCTTGCCTCTTCGCCGCCGGTCCTCTTGCTGCTTGCCACCTCGTCGTCGTTGATTGTCAGGTCAGTCTCCTCGATCCTTCCTCCTTTCACACGCAGTGCGATGCAGATCGCGATGAGTGGCATCAGCGGCGCGCTTTGCAGGCTGGCATGAGTGTCTCGCAGTGTGATGAGTTTGGTGGTCATAAGGGTGCAGTTCGCCAGCGCAAGATTGAGCGCAAGGCTGCGCGAAGAGCTCGCCTCTGGACGCCGTGGTCTCGCCAGCTCCGTTTAGAGGGCGCGCGCGTGCATGTGCGTGATGACAGTGGCGAGAGCGTTGCAGTTGTTCAGGAGGTTTTCAGCGCCGTGTAAGCACATTGGCAACCTATCTTTGCTGCTCGCGAGTCGTGTGATGCTGACGTCCTCGCCTTTCTGCATTCTGTCTCTCCGCCTGTCCCTACCTTTGACGCCCCCATGCCCAGTGGGGGCGCCGGCGTCGGCGCTGCAGCGTGCGAAGCCAAGTGCTCCTGGTCCCGATCGTCTTCCCTATTCTGCCTGGCTCTCCCACCCCCTCGCCGCGTCCATCTTGCATCGCGTTCTCGTGCATATCTACCCAGGCGGCATCTTACCGTGCGAAGCTAATCATTCACTGTTTGCTTGTCTCCCGAAAGGGGGGGACGAGCTGGGCGCGGTTCGGATAACTCGGCGGAACCAGGACCTTCGTCCGTTGAATCTCAAAACCAGCGATGTGGAAGCGATTAACCCAACCGTCAAATTCATTTTGAGGCCACTTGTAGGGCAACGAGTGCACCAGAGTCAGCAAGGGTATATCACTGGTCGTAACTTCGTTGGCAACATGCCCCTGCTAGACGCGGGGGCGAGGCGCGCTGGCTGGCTTGAGGGCGGCTCGAGCAAACGCCCGCTACTTCTTTTCTTGCACTGTAAGGCAGCGTTTCCTAGCCTGAACCGCCGCTGGCTGGAGCTCACCTTTGCCCATTATGGCGTGCCGCTCGGTGTTCTTTGGGCTATGGGGGCACTCTATAATGCTCCGATTGCCTTCGCGATGTTTGGGGGTATGCCATTCACTCCTATGTGCGAGCTCGCCCGCGGCGTGCTGCAAGGCTGCCCCTTGTCTGGCAGTCTCTGGGCGCTGTGCGTGGATCCGCTGCTTCGCGATTTGCAGCGGCCTTTCCCCGCGCTTGATCATGGCGTAGTGCGAGCTTGTGCAGACGACATCGGCTTGATTCTACTGAGCGTATCGCAGCTCATCATGATTGCGGGGACTTTTTGCTTCGCTGAAAAGCTCGCTAGCCTCGCGCTTCAGCCTGCCAAGTGTGTAGCAGTCCCGTTGTGGGCCCCGTTTTCGCCAGAGGTGCAGAGCGAAACCCGCCGTGATCTCGAGGGGGCTTGTGACGGGTGGCGCGCGTTTCAGGTGTTGGACGCGGTGAAGTACCTGGGGTTTGGTTCGGCCCAGGAGCGACCGCTGACCTGCAGTGGAACGCTCCGTCTCAGAAGTGGTGGAAACGCATTCATCTGGCCAGCCTCACTCGTGCTCCTCCTTCTGCCCTAACGCTTCTGTGCGCCTCTGCTATCCTTCCTACCTTGAGTTATGTCTCCCAGCTGTTCTTGCCCATCCCGGGGCTGCTACAGAGAGAGAGAGAGAGAGAGATCCATGTATTGCATAAGTTGAGCAGGCTTCCGCCAAATGCCATGACGCGCTCAGATCTTTTGTCTTGGAAGGCTTGGTGCAGAGGAGGAGGGCCCACCGCCATCCTGCCGCTCTCTCTTGCTTCCATGTGGCGCACGTGCACTACGACTTTATCGGGATGGCGGGTGCATTTCCATATGTTGCGAGAGGCTGCCGAAAGTTTCGCCCCGCTCCCGTCGTCTGCTGTTCAGCGCTGGTCGCCTGCTTGGTGGCGTGATCAGAAAGCAATCGTGCGGCGATCTGATGATACGGTAGGTTTGCGTCGTGCCGACCAGCGGCGACCCCAGCGCGGGCGTTCAAGGCTGAACGCCGCCGGCGACCCAGAATCGATCGAGGCTGAACGATCGGACGTTGCGGCAGCGGCCGATCGTTCAAGGCTGAACGATCCCTGCGGTGCCAAAATCCAGCGCTGGGGTCGGCACGACACGAACCTGCCGTAGCTGTCTGTGCCAGCCGATCCTCCTCCTCCTCCTCCTCCTCCTCCTTCTCCCTCCTCCTCCTCCTCCTCCTCCTCCTCCTCCTCCTCATCGTTCATCTTCCTCCTCCTCCTCCGCGCGCTGTTTCTGCGAGCGCGCCGCGCAGTGCTGTATGCGTGTGGGGCGGTCGGAGGTCGAGCGGGCGGCGGCGGAGGGGGCGCGGGGGCACCTCAAGGTGCAGCGTGCCGCTTGTGCTGCACTTGCTCAGCAGATGTATCCCGGGCAGCTTGTTGACGCGATGCGCAAAAGCGTTTGCGCAAAATGGTATCCCGGCCTTGCTGTTCCTCCTGGCCTCTCCTCCCGTTGGCTCTTCCTCCGCTCGTGCTTCAGCAGATTTAAGCCCGCTGTGCGCTGGCGTGTCCTGAGAACTCTTAGTGGGGCGTGGGCCACCAGTGATCGACTGCATGTCGTTCCAGGTTCTCACGCTTGCCTGCTGGGATGCCCAAACTGCGTACACTGTGTGCAGCATTATTTAGTGACAAGTTTCTTGAGCTTGTGGCTGACCCGCAGGTGCCAATGAGTTCGGAGGTGTTCGTTCGACTGGGCTTGGGTGGCGTGGAGGGGCACGCGGGTCAGTTTACACTCGCTCGCGTCGTTCGCTCTCTCCCTCTCTCTCCCTCTCTCTCTCTCTCTCTTCCTCGCCTTCTACATATATCACGCCATGAAGGGAGAGATCGGCGCTCCCCCTCACGAGTTTACTTCCGTCTCGGCTGCCGCGCGATTTCGAGCAGTCGCCATTCAGCGATTGCGAGTCGGGTGAGCGACCGGGACTCTTCCCAGGGGGCGTTCGCTCCTCCTCCTCCTCCTCTTTCTCCTCCTCCTCCTCCTCCTCCTCCTCCTCCTCCTCCTCCCCCTCCCTCCTCCCCCTCCCCCTCCGTCCTCCTCCTCCTCCCCCTCCTCGAAATGGAACATGCGGCCGCGGCACCAGCAGCGGCAGCGCCGCGTCGCCGCCTTGCACGCGCCCGCCCGCGGAGGCGGCCAGGCGCGGCCAGCGGAGGGCTTCGATTCGTTCCCCTTCGGTCCGGGTGAGGGGCTGCGGCTCGCAGGCCGAGGGGGATGTCAGTACGTAGGCCGCGGCAGCGGCAGCGCGCAGCAGGAAGCGCAGCAGCAGCGGCGGGAGCGGGCAGGAGGGCCGAGGAGAAGGCGGGGAGGGAGGAGAGAAGGAGGCGACGCGTGGCGCAGCGGAGGGAAGACGAGGACCGCAGTAGTACGAGAGGGTTGGGCCGAAGGGCAAGTCTTCTTTCGGAGCGATCGCCGTGCGCCCCAGGCCATTCCTGTAGTGGCCGACACCATGGTCTTCATCGCCTCGCTCACCACGCCGATCTGGCGCAACGAGGAGGGGGTGACACCCGCGCAGCGCAGCGCAGCGATGATGCTGCTGCTGCTGCTGATGATTATGGTTATGGTGATGGTGATGGTAATGATGATGCTGCTGATGATGATTATGCTGTTGATGATGAGGGCGATGATGATGATGATTCTGGAGATGAGCACGGACTGGATGATGCTGATGATAAAGATGATGATGAGGATAATGAGGATGAGGATGATGATGGTGGTGGTGATGGTAATGGTGATGATGATGACGAGGATGATGAGGATTATGGGGGTGACGATGATGTTTCTGACGATGCTGGCTATCGTGACACTGATGGTGATGACTAAGTTTATGACGATGATTCTTATGCTGATGGCGATGATGATAAGATGCTGGTGATGCTGCTGATGACAATGATGATGACGATGATGATTATGATGAGGATTATGCTCATGATGACGATGATGACGATGGTGATGACGATGCCGACGACGATGACCATGGTGATCAGGCTGATTGTGATGGTGCTGGAGATGACGACGATTCTGATGATGATGCTGATGATGTTGTTGATGACGATGGTGATGACGATAAAGATGACATTGACGATGACGGTGATGGTGATGCTGATGGTGTTGTTCATGCTTGCGATGACGATAAGGATGATGATCATGATGATGATGCTGATGATGATGTTTATGATGATGCTTACGATGATGATAACCATAACGACGACGATAACGATGACGATGATAGAGATGATGATTGAGTTTGTGATAATGATGATGAAGATGCTGCTACTGATGGTGGCGACGTTGATGATGATGCTAATGATGATGCTGATGATGATGATGACGATGGTGATGATGATGATGACGATGATGTGGGTGAAGACGCTGATGATGCTGATAATGATGATGCTGAGCATTATGATGATCATGATGATGCTGATGGTAACGCTGATGCTGATGCTGATGCCGCTGATGCTGATGATGCTGCTGATGATGATGAAGATGCTACTGCTGCTGATGATGATGACGATGTCGATGATGCTGATTCTGCTGTTGATGACGATGACTATGAACATGAACATGGACATGATGGTTATGATGCTGATGTTGGTGCTGCTGATGATGATGGCGATCATGATAATGCTTATGATGATGCTGATGCTGATGCTGATGATGATGATGATGATGATGATGATGATGATGATGATGATGATGCTGAAGATGCTGCTGATGATAGTGATGGTGCTGGTGATGGTGATGTTGATGGTGGTGATGATGATGATGCTGATGCTGCTGCTGCTGATGCTGATGCTGATGATGATGCTGATGATGCTGATGATGATGATGATGCTGTTGCTGATGCTGATGCTGCTGATGATGATAACGCTGATGACGACGATACTGATGCTGATGATGATTATGGTAATTATGATTATGATGCTGCTGATGATGAGGATGACGATGATGATGCTGCTGCTGCTGCTGATGATGATGATGATGATGATGATGATGATGATGATGATGATGATGCCTGCTGCTGATGATGATGATGATGATGATGATGATGATGATGATGATGATGATGCTGATGATGATGATGATGATGAGGCTAAGGACGATAACCGGGGAGCGAGGATACACATTTTTGAATGTAATCTGTCTTCTTTGTGGGCCTCTGGGAGGCCTGCGATCGCCACGGCTGGATCCGCTTCGAAAGTCTGGCCAGGACACGTGCACTCCCCAGCCCGAAGTTCGGGTCTTGTCGGGTCGGGTCGGGGTGGTCTGGTAAGTAGTCAGATTCGCCCTCCCCCTCCCCCCAGCAAGAAGGGACACGGTGACCGTGCTCGAGGGCCCTCTCCCCAGCCGCGAGGGTGCCTCCGGCCTCACCGTGGCCCGATGGGGGCGGCACCGTCGTGGCCCAGAGGCTGCTCCCCGTGGGCCGCCGCCCGGGGTTTTGGATTTGCGGGAGCTCCCGCAGATTCCAGCAGCGAGTTCCAGCAGACTCCGTTTTTTTTCTCCTTCTGCTGCTTCTGTTCCTGCGCACTTCCCTCCTCCTGCTGCCCCTCCTCCCTCTCCTCCCCCTCCTCCTCCTCCTCCTTCTCCTCCTCCTCCTCCTCCTCCTCCTGCTCCTGCTCCTCCTTTTCCTCTCCTTCTGCTGCTTCTGTTCTTGCGCCCTTCCCTCCTGTTGCCTCCTTCGTTGCTCAGACATTCGGGTTCAACTGTTGCGTGCTTCTATTCCCTCCTGCTGCCCCTCCTCCTCCTCCTCCTCCTCCTCCTCCTCCTCCTCCTCCTCCTCCTCCTCCTCCTCCTCCAGCGCCCTCGGCGCCAGCGACGGCAGCGGCGACGGCGGCGACGAGCGACGACCGACGTTGACAAGCAACGAGCGTCGACGGAGCGGCGAGCGACGGCAAGCGAGCGACGGTGGACCGACGAGCGACGACGAGGGGCCGAACGACGGGCCAGCGACGACGAGCGACGATCGTCGACGACTAGCGGCGAGCGACGAGCGTGCAATAAGCGAACGAGAGACGACGGTGGCGGGCGGCGGCGCCAGCGGGAGCCGCGAGGAGACCTCGAAAGCGGAGAACTCCGAGGCGGTGGTGCGCGCGTGCTTGGCCGAGCTGGACGCTGGCGCGCCCAGCCAGGCGGGCGCGGCCATGCAGGCGCGGCGGGGATTGCGCAGGGAACAGCCTCGACCCGAGGAGAGGAGAGATGATAAGGCCTCTGGTTGCGCACAGACAGCCCCCCCAGGGAGTCCCAGCTGGCCTCAACATGCTCCCCGATGAGCCTCAGCTAGCCTCAACAGGCCTCCCGAGTAGTCCGACAGAGTGCCCCAGAGTTGGGGTATTTGGACCGCCCCGGACTGCTTGGGGGGCCTGTTGAGGCCAGCTGGGACTACTCGGGGGGCGGGTTGAGGCCGGCTGGGACTACCTGTGGGGCACGGTCTCTGCGCAGCTTGAGCCCTGCCAGGAAGAGTAGCCCTGGAAAGGCGCGGCACCGAGACCCGGAGGCGAGCACGCTGGGCCCTGGAAGCGCGGCGGGCACGAGTCCGAGAGTCCCGAAGCAGCAGCCCGAGTAAGAGGGACCGCCCGCTGCGGAAACGTTCTGGGGGCGCTCCAGCAGGAGGAGGATGAGGATGAGGAGGAGGGGGAAGGAGGAGGAGGAGGAGGAGGAGGAGGAGGAAAAGGAGAAGAGGAGGAGGAGGAGGAGGAGGAGGAGGAGGAGGTCGTGGGAGGAGGAGGAGGAGGAGGAGGAGGAGGAGGAGGAGGAGGAGGAGGAGGAGGAGGAGGAGGAGGAGGAGGTCGGGGGAGTAGGAATTTCGAAGCGTTTTTCTCAGGAAATGCATTGTGGCGACCGGGGAGGAGAAATGGGAAGAGGGGGAGGAAGATGATGATGACGAGGAGCAGGAGAAGGATGAACGGGGGTGCCAGGAGGAAGTCGAGGACGCTTCAGGCGATGCCTAGGGGTCGGCTGTGAGGAAAGATGAGGATATGGGCCAGAGGGAAAAGCGGCACACACTATTGATGCTGGTGCATCGACGATCCGGCGCACCTCGCAACTTTGCGAGAGGGAGTCGCGCGGCGCCCAGGCGAGAGCACGAGCTCGAAAAGGAACCGCCAGTCATCCCTGTAAGTGTGAGCACCTCAAATGGCCATGGCAGGATGCCCGCGGCTCCCAAAAGTGGTCGTCCTCCATCGGTGAAGCTGGTGGTCATTTCGATGTCGGGGATCTTCAAGCGCAAGGAAGCCTCAGGCGAGAGCTAGAGTGTAACGGACCCCGCGCTACTCAATTCAGGGGTGTCTCCCTCTGCTATGTCCTGCCATGCTCTGGTTTTCAAAGCGTTGTTAAGCCGTCGCGTGCCATAATAGCAGCACGCGCCACACCATGCGATCCGCGTGACACAGCATGACACATTCGATCGTCGCACAACATGCCGTTCGCATATCATTCCATACCACCATGGAATTATAGCTGTTGTATACTATCGCATGGTTCAGCACATCAATACGTTACATACCACGCGATAGCGTCGGAATTGCATCCACTTGCTCTTCACACTGTAGCACAGCATGTTGTGATATCGCATCGCAATGCACATCATGACGCATTTCAGGACTTGTAGCGCACAGCGTAGCCGCACTTATCACAACATATGATTGTGTTTAAGAGCTCAGCACACCATAGCTGGGCCTTGTACGAGCAAAGTATTCCACCGCCGCCCTCCCCACGCCGCCTTCTCCGGGTCCTCCTCCCCTTCCTCCCCATCGTCTTGGCCCGTATCCTGCCCTCTCCCCCTGGTGCATTGAATCCGAATGAGCGCTTTCTGCCGCTGCTGCCAGAAGGGGGTTCATCCCCCCCCTTTCCTCCCCCCCTAAAACCAGGGGGGGGAGGGGTGGGGGTTCTGGACCCCTTTCAACCCCCCATCCCCCTCCGGGAAAACAGGTGGGGGGGTGTCCGGTCCCCCTCCCCTCCCCGGGAAAACTAGCTGGGAGGGATCCAGAACCCCCCACCCTGGCTTCTGGCCGCCTTAGAAAATATCTTCAGGCCAGCGACGGTGGATCGCGCTCCCTCTCAGATCCTCACCTGCCCCTCGTGGTCTACCTCCGCCTCCCCCTCTTCTGGTCCGCCTTCTCCTCCTCCTGGTCGTCTCCCCCCTCCTCCTGTCTCCCTCCTGCTGTTTCTCCTCCTCCTGGCCCCCCCTCTTTGTCCCCCTCCTCCTCCCTCCTCCTCCTCCTCCTCCTCCTCCTCCTCCTCGTACCGCGCGCTGGTCCGCGGCCAGGTGCTGGCGTGCCTGCTCCACCGCAGGCCCCAGGTCGCCGTCGCCGTCGGCGACGAGGGTGCGAAGGGCCTTCTGATGAGACTCCACGGCTGGTCGGCCTTCGGCATTGGAGTCAGGAGGGTGATCTAGGCTGGAGGATCGAGGTTCGAAGGTCAAAC